GGCAGCTCGCGACGGTGCCACGGAGGAGGCGGTGCGGGAGAGGTACGGGAGCCCAAGCCGCGCACCGCACCAGCGGGAGCTGCCACCTGTGGGTGGGGAAATTGAGGCACGGTGTACTTGAGTCCCTTGTCCCAGGTTCGAGGGCTGGAAGGCTACTCCGGGCAGGTTGGCCCTGGAGCCCTGGCATTCATACTCTCATCTGTGCCATATCAAACTAAGCCTCCCCGGCCTTCGCGTGCTACTTTGTTCTCTTAGTTTTTGCTTTTCAGGGATTTTCCCTTCCCATCCCGATCCCCTTCCTGCCCCTCCTCCTCTTCATCTCTGCCCCAGTTCCCTCTGGTTACAGGCTCACTCTAGTCCCAGGGCCTTTTTCAGGAGCCTGTGCTAGCTTTCTGGCTTGTCTTCCCCAGAGCTATGATACCGCTGTGTGTCAGTGTGTCTGATTCTGCTTTTTTCCTTCACTTTATTATCAGCTCATCTCCTGCCTTCCTCGCTCTAATGTCCTCAGGCATCAGCCTCCTGAGCAGCTGGGATTACAGATGTATACCATCCTTCCTGGCCATCAGGACGGAAATTTTTGTCTTGTTTATTGCTGTGCCCCTCCTGGTACCAGGCACACAGGAAGTGCTGGGAAAATATGTCACGTGAGCACACAGAGTGACAGATTCGTGGCAGAAGTATGGAGGCCTCAGCAACAGTGGCTTCCAGCGGGAAGGCCCCACAGAATAACACCAGGTGGACAGGAAGGGCTGGGCCCCTGAGGCCCTACCTAAGTGGGAGCTGAGAGCCCCTTGTCCTCTGCCCCAGAGTGATCCGCCATGCCGAGGACATGCTGGAGAAGGACCTCAGGGACAACCACAGCATCGGGGACCTGGGAGCCCACCACCTCCTGCAGCGAGCAGCCCCCAAGGGTGGCAAGGTGACTGTGCTGACCCACTGCAACACTGGTGCACTGGCCACCGCTGGCTACGGCACAGCCTTGGGTGAGTAGTCATCTTGGGCAGACAGGAAAGGGCCATTTGGCAGTACAAGAGGAAGAAACCAGGCTGCAGGTGTAGCTCAGTGGTAAAAGTATAAATTTTGCTTAGCATGCATGAGGCCCGAGAATCAATCCCAACCACGAGAAACAAAACTAAGCCAAAACAACTAAACCCCACAAAACAACACCTGACTGTATTATTTCTTGTTTAGAAACATTGAAGGGGTTGGCTTCAGGTGTGGCTAGATCCAGGGGCTCAAAGCATAGCAGACAAGTTTTCTTGTATCTCATGAGGTCTGACAGGGCCACCTGACCATCTCAGAGCTACCTGAGCCGTAGGCTTACAAGATGACTAGAATGTGGCCCCTTAGGACTGACACGAAGGGGGTGACCTTCCACAAGGCAAGACTGAAGGAGCCTTGACCAGGAGAGAGTTAAATGGTGAAGTTAATGGTGGCAGATAATCCCTAGGAAATCTTCCTACCTGCCGGGGTTCCACCTCATCCCTGAGAACTCAGGTCTGAATCTGGCTCAGGCTGACCATGGTGGTACACACCTGTAATCCCAGTACTTGGGAGGCTGAGTCAGGAGGATCAGTGCAAATTTGAAGCCAGTTTGACCTACACAGTGAGTTCAAGACCAACCTGGTCTACATAATGAGACTGTTTCAAAATTTTAAAAAAGGGCTGGGAAATGGGGGGGCTGTGGATATAGCTCAGTGAGAAGACCCTGGGTTTAAACCCCAGTACTACCAAAAAGAGAAGATGCTAAACACTAAGGACAGAGCTGGCACAGACTGAGGGGCCCAACCACTGTATGGCTGAGGGACCAGGGAAGGATTTGTGGAGGTGTCATCCAGGCAGATGTGGAGGAGATGCTGCAGGGGTCTGGGGAATGGTGTGCCAAGTAGAGGGAAGAGCTACGGCAGAGCCCCGGGTGAAACCCGCAGTGCTGACCTGCCCCTGCCCTCCTGCCCACAGGCGTGATCCGCTCCCTGCACCGGCTCGGCCGCCTAGAGCACGCCTTCTGCACAGAGACCCGGCCCTACAACCAGGGCGCGCGGCTGACAGCCTTCGAGCTGGTGTATGAAGGCATCTCCGCCACCCTCATTGCCGACAGCATGGCAGCTGCTGCCATGGCCCACAGGGGTGTGTCAGGTCAGTTGTAGGTGTGTGTAGGGGCCTGAGTGGCCAGGACTTGGCCTTGTGACATCTCATTCAGTTTCTGGCCCCCAGCTGTCGTCGTGGGAGCCGACCGTGTGGTTGCCAATGGAGATACCGCCAACAAAGTGGGCACCTACCAGCTGGCCATCGCCGCCAAGCACCATGGCATCCCCTTCTATGTGGCCGCCCCTAGCTCCTCCTGTGACCTCCGCCTGAAAACTGGCCGGGACATCGTCATCGAGGAGCGGCCGGGCCATGAGCTCACTGATGTGAATGGGATCAGGATTGCGGCATCTGGTGAGCTGTCAGGCAGAAGAGGGAAGCGGGGCATAGTGGCACATGCCTATAATCCTAACACTCAGGAGGCTGAGGCAGGAGAGTTGCTATAAGTTCGAAGCCAACCTGGACTATATAGCGAGACCCTGTCTCAAAAAGACTTTGAAGCCTTTGTGGGTAGTGACTGTCCAGGAGTAGTAGGGAGATCCGAACTCATAACCTTGTTGCTGGCATCAGTGTCCATGTCTTTGTCCAGTGTTAGAGTAAGGAACCCCAGATTCTCAAGGGCTTACCCAACCCCAAGAACCTGTGGTAGAGACAGGTGAAAACAGCTGAGGGTTTTCACAAAGCTAATCTCTGACTCAGTGTCTTCTCTTCCCTGCAGGGATTGGGGTTTGGAATCCTGCCTTCGATGTCACCCCCCATGACCTCATCACCGGTGGCATCATCACAGAGCTGGGTGTCTTTGCCCCCGGGGAGCTCCAAGCAGCCCTGAGCACCAGCCTGTCAGGTGCAGGCACCTAGTTAGAACAAGCCACACTCCCCACCCACCTGCATCTCTCGGGTTTCAGTATAAGCTTATTAAATGGCATGGCCAAAAGCTGATCTTCCTCCCCCAGCCACATTTTTTCCTGAGCAGGAAAAGTAGACAGGGCCTTGCATGGCTCATAAGGGCCTAGCAGGCCAGGCATGGTGGTGTACAACTGTCATCCCAACACTCGGGAGGCTGAAGCACAGGATCACTGTGAGTTTGAGACCCTGTCTCAAAACACACGCACCCCAAAGCCACCCAGGTTCAGATCCCGGCTCTACCTGTTTCTTCCCTGTATGATCTCAGGCAAGTCACTTCATCTCTCTGTGCCTTGGCAAGTGTGGAAGCACACATTTGTAATCCCAGCACTCAGGAGGCTGAGGCAGGAGGATCAATGTGAGTTCAAAGCCAACTTGGGCTACATAATGGCTTCAAGTCCAGCATGGACTATAAAGTGAGACCCTGTCTCAAAAATAAAGATAATATTTTAATATAGTGTTTCAGTTTATTTTGAGAGGTCATCCTCTACTGCCAGGCTTAATAGTGAACCACCATGCCTATTTTACTATTTAAAAATCAAGAGGGGCCAGAGATTTATCTCAGTGGTTCCACCACCTGCTTTGCAAGCACAAAGTCCCGAGTTCAATCCCTGGTACCAAAAAAAAAAAAAAAAAAAAAAAAAAAAAAA